AATGCCACACCAGGAAAAACATGAATCTTCTCTGTAGCAGCATTGCCCCTTTGTGGTCATATAGGGAGGTTACACTGAGCAATTTCCCACAGCTTCTTAGAAGTTTGTTATCAGCAATTCTTCCATCAAGTAGAGTATTGAATAAATAGTTGAGTCTTCCTCTTGAGTCAATGGTTTCTTCAGATGAAAGGAGATTTTGCCCTTGCTGAAGTCAGCAACAAAATCGTTGCTGCTCCCTACTTAGACGTGTCTCAGGAAGATCCAGAGGCCTTGGTTGGAATACTACACATACCAGTACAGAATAGTGCTCCTGAATTAAGCATGTTAGCACCCTAGTAGTACTAATGTTCTTACAGAGTCAGAAATTGGTCCTTCAGGCTGAGTTACTTACCTGGGTTCTCCTTCCTCTCATCACATCCCTATTAGATCTATGAAAGTCCTTCATACTGAAGAGAACTGAGTCTTTGCCAACACTGGATATGGTCAATCTTTTTCATTTTAGTCAGTTTCATGGGTGTGTATCAGTTCCTCATTGAGGCAAACTTTCATTTTCCAGATGATTTGTGAAGTAGAATAGAGGCTGGCAAACTTTTTTCATAAAGGATAAGATATTAAATATTTTCAGCTTTTATAGACTGTATGGTCTGTTACAGTTTTTCAGTTGTGGCATTGTGACATGGAAATAGCCATTCATAAGGAAATGCAAAGGGTCTAGAATAACCAAAACAATTCTGTAAAGAAACAAAATTGAAGAACTCACCCTACTAAGTACAAAGAATAATAATAAGCAAGAGAGTTTGGTACTGCTGAAAGTAAGACATATAGATCAATTGAATTGCATACAAATTACAGAGATAGATGCACAAATACGTGATTAATTCATTTTCAGTAAAGGTGACAAGCAATTCAACAGGGGAAAATATTTTCAATAATTAGTGCCTTATACATGAGCTCCTATGGACAGAGGGATGCTGGCTGCACATGTTGTTGTTGTTAGGTGCCATCGAGTACATACCGACTCATAGCAACTCTATGCACAACAGAATGAACCACTGCCCGATCCTAGGCCAATCTCACTATTGTTGCCACGCTTGAACCCATAGATGCTGCCACTTTGCCAATCAATTTTGCTGGGAATCTTCTTTTTCTCTTCTCCAGGGACTGGTCCCTTCTGACAATATGTCCCAAGTATGAGAGATGAAGTTTGGCCATCCTGGCCTCCAAGGAGCAGTCTGCTGCACTTCTAACACAGATCTATTTGTTCTTTTGGCAGCCCTTTCAATATTCTCCTCCAACACCATAACTCAAATGCATCAATTCTTCTACAGTCTTTCTTATTCACTGTCCAGCTTTTGTATGCATATGAGGTTATTAAAATACCATGGTTTGGGTCAGGAGCACCTTAGTCTTCAAGCTGACATCTTTACTCTTCAACACTTTAAAAAAAAGATCTTGAGAAGCAAATTTGCCCAATGCAATATGTCATTTGATTTCTTGACTGCTGCTTCCGTGAGTGTTGATAGTTGATCCAAGAAGAATGAAGTCTTTGACAACTTCAATCTTTTTTCCATTGATATGAATGTTGTTTATCAGTCCAGTGGTGAGGATTTTACTTTTCTTTACATTGAGATGCAATACATACTGAAGGCTGTGCTCTTTGGTATTCATCAGTAAATATTTTAAGTCCTCTTCACATTCAGCAAGCAAGGTTGTATCATCTGCATATCACAGGTTGTTAATGAGTCTTCCTCCAATCCTGGTGCCACGTTTTTCTTCATAGAACCCAGCTTTTCAGATTATTTGCTCAGCATACAGGTTGAATAAGTATGGTAAAAGAATACAACCCTGTCGCACACCTTTCTTAATTTTAAACCATTCGGTGTTCCCATGTTCTGTTCGAACAACTGACTCATGAGCACAATCAAGTGTTCAGGAATACTCATACTTCTAAATGTTGTCCACAGCTTGTCATGATCCACACAATTGAAAGCCTTTGTGTAGTCAATAAAGCACAGGTAAACATCTTTCTGGTATTCTCTGCTTTCAAACAAGATCCATTGGACATCAACAATGATATCCCTCATTCCATGGTCTCTTCTGTACTCAGCTTGAACCTCTGGAAGTTCTCTATCAATGGATGCTTGCAGCCATTTCTGTATTACCTTTAGTAAAATTTTACTATCATGGGATAGCATAGAGATTTACTGATGATTTCCACATTCCGTTGGGTCATCTCTCTTTGGAAAGGGCACAAATATGGATCTCTTCCAATCAGTTGGCCAGATAGCTGTCTTCTACATTTCTTGGCAGAGATGAGTGAGTGCCTCCTGTGCCATCTCACTTTCTTGAAAGATTTCAATTTTTATTCCATCAATTCCTGGTGCCTTGTTATTTGCCAATTCCATCAATGCACCTTGGACTTCCTCCTTCAGCATAATTGGCTCTTAATCATATGCTACCTCTTGAAGCAGTTGAACATCAACAATTTCCTTTTGGTACAGTGACTCTGTGTATTCTGGCCATATTCTTTTGAAGCTTTATGCATCATTCAATCATTTGCCCAGAGAATCCTTCAATAAGGAAAGTCGAGGCTTGAATTTTTTCTTCAGTTCTCCCAGCTTGAGAAATGCTGAGTGTGATCTTCCTGTTTGATTTTCTGGCTCCAGATCTTTGCACATTTCTTTGTAATATTTGGCTTTATCTTCTCAAGCTGATCTTTGAAATTTTCTGTTCAGGTGTTGGACCTCCTCAGTTCTTCCATTTGCTTTAGCGTCTCTACACTGGAGAGCAAGTTCCAGGGTCTCTTCTGACATCCATTTTGACCTTTTCCTTCTTTCTTGTCTTCTTAATGACTTACTGCTTTCTACCTGTATGATGTTCTTGATGTCATCCCACAATTCTTCTGGTCTTCTGTATTTAGTGTTTAATATATCAAATCTCTACTTCAGATGGTCTCTAAATTCAGGTGGGATTTATTCACAGTCATATTTTGGCTTTTGTGGACTTGTTTTCATTTTCTTCAGCTTCAGTTT